CGTAAATTTTTTGGCGCGAAAATAGCTAACTCGGGATTCAGGAAAGCTGGGAGGCTGAAATTTCCAGAGAATGTTCCTAACCTATGTTCAACTTAAATTTTTCAAATTCAGCCCCTCATCATAAGTGGTAATCACATATGATCCCGTGAAAAGTTTTTGGCGCGAAAATGGCTAACTCACGAACCAAGGAAGCTGGAAAGCAAAAATTTTCAGAAAATACTGCTGACACATTTTCAGCTTAAAATTATCAAATTCAGCCCCCGAGTATGAGTGTTTCTCACGCGCGACCCGTGAAGCTTTTGGCGCGGAAATGGTTAACTCGAAAACCAGGAGAGCTGAGAGGCTGGAATTTTCAGAGAATGTTCCCAGCCCATGTACGACTTAAATTTATCAAACTCAGTCGTCGGGTATACGTGGTGCCACGTATAGCCCCGAGAAAATTTTTGGCAGGAAAATTGCTAACTCAAGAACCAGAAAATTTGGAAAACTGAAATTTCAACAAATTGTTCCCCGTCCACGCTTTCCCGATTTCGAGGACCAGTATATCACACATTTCTAGCTACTGGGTTCCGAGCGATCTCATTACAGCATGAAATGTTGCGAAAACGCACGATCGCACGTGCCCGCCCGGTGCGCGTCGCCAATGATTAGGATTTTTTTTTCATTACTATTAAAAGACATTGTTTCAAGTTAAGACATTCATGAGTGTGAGAGTTTAAAAATCAACCTCGCCAAAAGCTCCTTCACCAAGTTTCTTCTGCAACTGGATTTCATCGTGGGTAAGAAGCCAAGGCTGCCGAACAATTCCTTTGACTAGCTTCGCATGGCTGCTGGCTGATACTGGTGTGCCCGTTGATTTGTGCCATTCAACTAGTTCATGTACTGTTCGCTCCTGAATGCCATCGGGTGAACTTGATGCAAAAACAACATAGTAGTTACGCATCCGTTTCACTCACGAACTCTTTTTTAAGATAATTTTAACTTCTATGAAACATGCCAACATCCGCAAAATACCATTTTAGAAAGGAAGTTAACCCAAATCACCGTAACAGGCGATGGAGTCAGCCTTTGCTTCTATGAGATTTTGAAGGCAAAAAGCGAAGGCATAAATGTTATGCATAGTCGCAAGCTGCCGAAGGCACACACTGATGTGTAAATCCAGTCCAACCTATTCGCTTCCAGTTCCACCTAAGCATCAGCTTCATAAAGAGGGAAGATCCCTACTAATGAACAGGAGGAAATTGTCAAGACAAATCGCGGAAGAAAAAGAAAAGGGAATAAAGTGATTATTCCCAACGGACCGTAAGGAGACGTTGGGGAAATACCTGTGATCATTTTTCTTTGCCGATGTAAAGTTATTTTATCTCGGCTAACAGATCTTGTCCGTCGGCCGACCACTTTTTAGCGTTTTGCCTTTTGTCTAATATTATCCAATGAATTGCCAAAGGGTGAGGTAAATAACTTCCCATCCCGCCCCTCCTTCCAACAAATTCATTCAATTCCCTTGAAAAAGGTACGGGCCGGTTGCCCGCGGCAGGTCCTGCGCAGCTTTAGCCACAACAGCCTACGCCAC